ATATATATATATATATATATATATATATAAGATTTTGAGTCCAAATAATGCATCTTGCAATACATTTTTTAAAAGAAAAAGTATATATAAGGATGCAACCTTATAATTTAGAACTACAGATGAACCTAAAAAATCCATTGGAAAAAGTAGTTTTAATGTTGAAAAACCATTTGATTGATCACTCGACTTCGAGATGTATGACCATGAAAAATAAAAAAATTAAGTCTAAAAAATAGTGCACTTTACAATATATTATCTACACTGTCCATTTTCAAGATTTATCATATGTCTATAGATTTACTTGATTTTTAACCATTTTTGAAATTTAAAACTTTATAATTAGAAATAAAAATAGATTTTGAGATAATCCTAAAAACATTCTACATCAAAATTATATACCATGATAAAATTTGAAGATGCACCTTACCTCTACAACTACGGATGCATCCGTATGCCAACTGCTCCCTTATCTAAAATGTCTATTTTCAAGATTCTCGTAAGTTTACATATCTATTTGATTTTAACTATTTTTGGAATTGAATATTTTATAATTAAAAACAAAAATAGATTTAAAAATAATCTTAAAAAAATTTTACACCAAAATCAGGTGGTATGGTAAAATTTGAAGGTACGGTCGAGGTTGCAAACGTTAGGGAAGAAAAAAATAAAATAATAGGGGGTAAAACTTAAAAAGGAAAGGGTATTTTGGTAAAAGCAATCCGCGAGGTCAAACCTATAGCTCCTGGGGACTAGAGAGGGTTTTAGGAGGTTCTGGGAGGGTAAGATGGGGCTTGACCAACGGTAAACTTTTCCTTGAGCAATGACTCGATCAATCAAAGAGGAGAGGGAGAGGAATGACTTGTAAGCCAAGCTGTGTGATGATATGATGGCGGAAGAAGAAAAACGGATGATTGGGCGGCCACCTCTCTCCCTCTTATGAATTCCCGTCGCAGGCCTTCCACTCTTTGAAACAAGTAGAGAGAGAGAGAGAAAGAGAGAGTGGTTATGGTTCAGAATTGAAATGGTGTAGTCTTTTTGGTTTAACTTGCTGTAATAAAAGCCCCTGTGAAAGAAAAGAGCGGGCTGACCCTCCATTTCTGCAAAGCTTCCCCTGCTCTCTCTCTCTATATCATAACATCTCTCTTCCTCTTCTGATTTTTGGAACCATGTTCCAGACATGGGTGCTGCTGTTTCTCCTCTCTACTGGATTCCAGTTCCATCTGATCTTGGGTATTACCGATCCCGGCGATGGTGAGCTCTCTCTCTGTGTGAACTATCTCTGTGAAAAACGATGACCCCACAAAGCTCTATTTTTTATATGGTCCCTATAGCTGTTGTTTCTGTAAAAACTGATGACCGGAAAGGGAACCAATTCTTATGCTATGTTTACTGGTGTTCAGGTGCTGCCATGATTGCCCTGAAGTCTTATATGCAAAACACTCCTCCAAATTGGTCTGGTGCCGATCCTTGTGGTTCGAATTGGGATGGCGTTTCCTGCTCTAATTCAAGAGTGATCGCCTTGTGAGTTACGAGCAAATATGTCAATTTCTTTGATGTTTTGTACATTCTGCCGATTGTATTGAAAGTATCCTTTGCTACTTCTGTAAGTTATGAAAAATTCATAGCAAATTTTCTATTGGATAATTGATGAAAGTGGGTATTGTCCTTCAGGAAATTATCCACGATGGGTCTCAGGGGTTTTCTGCCTGGTGATATTGGATCGCTCACTGAGTTACAGTTTCTGTAAGTTCCATAAAACCATTTTAGATTACTGGGTTTTTTCAGCTGATTGATCGGAATCATGTCTCTGTAAATTTACTTGTTCTTGGTGTTTCATAGGATCTCTGTCTGTGTGTGTGTGTCTTTCTCTCTAAAGTTAGTGGAATTTTGGTTTGGAGGGCAGGGATTTGTCTTTCAATCAAGACTTGGGTGGTTCGATCCCTAAAAGCATTGAAAACTTGAAGAAGCTCACTACCCTGTAAGACCATAAACCTGAAATGATGATTTTTTTTGGAGTCTATCAAAATTTACCTTTGATGTAACCGTGTTTGTGTTTCTAGGATCTTGGCTGGTTGCAGCTTTTCCGGTACTATCCCAGATGAATTGGGAAGTCTACAAGAGCTTGCGTTCTTGTAAGAATTTCAAAGAGCCTATATCCTGTTTTCAGTTATTTGCTCATGTAATTTTGAAAAATAAAAATGGATAATTATTGAGTTTTTTGTTTATTTTAGGGCACTTAATACGAACAAATTCACTGGTAGAATACCTGCTTCTTTGGGAAAACTCTCGAAACTTTACTGGTTCGACTTGGCAGACAATCAACTAACTGGGGGTCTCCCAGTTTCAGATGGGATCAACCCTGGTTTGGATATGCTCCTCAACGCAAAGCACTTGTAATTCTCATCTCTCTCTCTCTCTCTCTCTCATCAAGAAACATGTTCTCTGTCCTTTCAATTCTATTATAACATTTGTGTTCTCAGCCATTTCAACCAGAATCAGCTCTCAGGTCTCATCCCACCAAAGCTCTTCAGTTCAAACATGGTGTTAATACACATGTAAAATACTTCAAACAT